CTCCTTTGATGACCTATATGAGCCTGAAGATCTAGATGACTTCCTCGGAGGTAAGTGCTTTTCAGCATTAACTGCTTAAGTTCACACTGCGGTATAGTCATTTGTATTCAAAAACACAACTACAATATATTTTGTACAAGAATTGTGCAGTGGAAATATGTGATTTGTATGAAGATTTCGCGAAGTGAGAGGACTGTGTCGAATGACCTTGAATCGCTAGGATATTAAAAAAGACATACTAACAATTTAATGTAGAACATACAAAATATTCTTGGAATGCTTAAAACTTTCTGGGATTTTTAATTTTAAATTATATAAATTTTATTTTTACAGACGACCACTACATGGATAATTACGATCTGGAAAATTATGAGGAAATGCTCGAAATGGGATTGCACGTTCCGAACTTACTGCTGTTGTGAGAACTATCTCCTCAGCGTCTCCTCGTACAAGACGCTTGAAAATATTTTTATTAGTTCTAATTTTTTTTTTCAAACTACCAACAGTGAAAAGAGACCTAATTTTAAAATAGTTTTTTTTTTGTCTTTTAAATAACGGATTCCATTGTACATTATGATTTTCTCTAAATATTTCTGTTATTGTGTACATTTTAATTAAGTATAAAAATTGGTGTGTTTTATTATAAATATTTCTTCTATCATATAATAGATATCATTCAGTTAATTATAGTTTTGACGTAGGTTGGTTATTGTATTATCTGTGATGGAATGTTTGCTGTAATTACATGTTTAATTTGGTTTTAGTCAATATTTATCATTACATGTTGCATATATTATATAAAAAAGTTTCACTCTGTATCCTATAAGTAAAGTCTGAGAAATGTGATAGTATAAAATTAATTGGTTGTCTTATTTCATACTGGTTTTTTTTTGTGATGTTTGAATGGAAAATATAACTGCATGTGAGATTGTGTATTATTTTTATGTTTGGGTGTTTCAAGTGTTTAAAATATTTAGCTATTTCTGACATGGACGTTACCAAGGAAGAGAATAGGGGGGCAGCAGGTCGAAAAATATAAACCATATTAATGGTATCCTCATATCGGTTTTCCCTTTAAGTCTGGACCTATCCGAGAATATTAGCTAGCGATACCTACAATTTAATATGCAAATTGTAAAAGTTAATTAACTGGCAATATTCTTTTTATTTATTAAAGGTCCGTTGTTAATAGCAAGAATCTTTTTGCCATATTAACATATTTTATATCTATTTATGTTTTATTAATAGCTAAAACTCTTTGAACTTGTACATTGTTTCTTACTTGATCTTAAATCTCTTATACTACAATTAATTATAAATTGTATGTGATTTTTTAGAACATATCCTATTTTTTTTTTCAAAATGTTTTGTAAGTGATTAATATTATTAGCAACCTTTAATATTCACCTTAATTGTAAAAACTTTTAATTTACCAGGATTCATACACATTGAATGAATATTACTTTTGTTTTCTTGTTAGTGAAATGAAACTTTTTTTTATTATTTATTTATGGGACTATTTTTTAAATTACTTTTGTGTGAATGTAAATGATTGAATTTTATTCAACAAAATAAAATGATAACTTGCTTAGTATGGTTGGCATAATGTAAGTAGTTTTATTTTTTTGATTTTTCAGTTATTTAAGTGTTAGGCCGGAGCGTGCTGTGAGCATTTAGTTGTGAAGTATGCAGCTGTCACCTCGGATACATTAATTTGTTATAATTTTAGTGATTCGGAGTTTCGATGAGTACTTTTAGTTTAGAATTTTTTATTTCACTTAATATTTAACATTGATGTAGTTATTTTTTGTTCGTTATTTTATTCTTAATGCATTGTAATCAACATGTGTTGATTTTATATTTTTTGGTAGGAAGTGATTTTGCTTTGTGGACATATTTAAGAAATCAATGGCTTTATATATTTTTTTCTAAATATTTTTTTAAAGTGCAGAATTGTATTGTTTGTTTGCCAATGAACTGGAACTTTTGTTTACATCGCGCCCATTTTTGTGGTGGATAGAAACAGTCTTAGGTAACTTTATTTTTTGAAGCTTAGAAGTTCTTGCACTATTTTTCTAATAAATTAATTTCACTAAACATTCCTTTGTTACTGTTTAAAAAAAAGGAAGGACTGATTTGAAAATAGTTTTGTTTTTTCTGTCTTGTGATATTTAAAGTTGTTTTGTTATGTGATATTTCTTAACACCTGTGGTTGCGCTTTTTATTTTCATGTTAATTTTTTTTTTCAATTTCCCGTCTGAATTAATGTTAAAAACGTTTATAGAAGGAATATACAATATATTTTGGGGGTTTCACTTGGTGGTGACTTTTGTTTAGATTTGTGTTTTAGACAGAATTCTGCATGAAATGGTTTGTAAAATACTCTTAGTTTTTATACATTTAATTATTGTAACATCATTAGTAAGAAACAAAATATAAACACTCCTCAATAACATATTTTTTTTCATTCTTATCCCTTTTTGGTTATTAAAAAATCATAAATAGGTTATTCTAAGGGTATTAAGTTAGCATACACATAAAAATATTAGCCAAAACTTTAAGGTTAATAAAACCAATTGTGCTTACCGCACATGGAGATAAAGTCCTTTATATATGAGAGTATATAACAAGTATTCCATTTCTATGTAGAAATCTAAATATAAAGATAATCTCATTCTCATTGATCATGAATTCATATTTCTGTGTCAATAATAAATATTTTATACTTGGAAGGACCAAATGGGATATGAAGATAAATAGTTTTATACATTCTATTGTTTTTATTATTTACATCTACCAACAAAACTGTCAACAAGAGTTCCTCTAAACATTCATAATTATACAACTATTAGATATCATATATGTTAACATCATAGTTTGTAGTTTTTATATAAATGTTCCACCATCTCCCAAGCATACCAACATCAACTACTCTTGAAGGAAAACTGAAGAATGTAGGCTTTAGGTACTGGCATTGTGATTTGTATATGTCGCATCCGTAGTTTATTTCAGAAATATATATCACTGAGGCAATTCCAAAATTCCTATAATGTACTACTCCTTCATTGTAACATCTATCTAAAAAGCGTAAATGCTCTATAGATTTAGGATTTACACAATCCTCACTCACTAATATAACCTCGTTGGTAATACGTTTCAAATTATCCTTAAAATCTGCCTCGCTAGGATTATTCCGAACAAGACCATATAAAGTTGTAAGACCAGTCGCCCATATAAAAGCTTTCGTAGGTTGCTCTTGTACGTCACTTCTTAGGTCTTGCAACATTTGGCGATAATCAATGAATAGATTTTTCCAATAGTCAGCCCATCTCTCGAGGATTGTTCCTTTTAACTTTTCAGGAAACTTGATTTTGGTAGGATTCAGCTTTGCTATAGCATTCGAAGTTTTTGTAATGTTTCGTAACATTGTGTATCGTATTCAGTTAATTATATCTTTGATACAAAATCATTCACAATATACTAAGATAGCAATTTAAATACCTAAATAAACATTTCTGAGATATAATAACACATAACCTCTTTCTTCAGGCAATATTTATTTGACTTTGACATCAAGTTGACTTGTTTCCATTTGACATCAGAAATGTTCAGTTTCATGCAATAAAAAAATGTTTTTGAATTAAAGATCAAAACTTGCTTCATGATTTATTAAAATATTACAGTTATGAAAATGACGCCGGCGTTAACAATTAAACGAACTGTTATCGTGATATGTGCTTATAACGTTTGATTAACCTTTTCTATTCGGCATATAACCCCCTACTCCCTTAGCTGCTCGTCGTATTCGGGTAGTATCCTCAAAACCCTTCATATTTGGTATTGGAGGTATGTCATACGGTGGCATTCCTGGTGGTGGAGGCATTTGCCTAGCGATCTGAAAATCATACATTATTGAAATTAAAAGAAATCACTTCAAAAAGTTTAGCTGATGATCATAGCAATTTTTTAAATAGAAGGTGGTAAACTAGTAAGCAAGCGTTTTTTTTTTTCGATAAAATAGCGAATAACCTGCTGCCTATATATAATCGACATCTAGAAGTTAATAGTTAAAAGAATGCAAATGCGTTGTCTACGTTTAATGCTCAGAGGGAGAGGACGAGACGTACATACAAAGAATGTTTCTCCATCCTTTACGTTTCCTCTCCCGTCAAATCCAGTTTCTCTTTCCTTACTTCCCTTACAAAAAAATGGTAAGAGGAGTTGAATTGGCTTTCGTTACTATTTGCTATTTTCGAGATTAACAAATCTGTAATTCACAAAAGTGTGAACTATACTTACACGTCTTAAAACCTGATGATTTTCCATTGTCTCACCATAATTTCTTGCAGCCGAAGCGCCTTTCTTCTCACAGAAGGACGTCGCAAGATAAAAAGAGAGAAACACTAAAAATATGTACGGTTTCATTGTGAATGTTCAAATGTATTAAAATAATTTTAATGCATTAACTTGTCTGCTTTTAAATAGTGCATCGCATGGAATCGCACGCAATAAAATTCTTTTGCAGACAATACATTTCCTGTGGCGATACACGCGCGAGATTACTAGATAAAAATGTGATGATTAAATAATTTAATGGGCCACTATAACACGTTATGTGAACATTGCAAGGTCATAAGGGCCTAGATTGGCGGTCTTAAAAACTAAATATTTATTAAGAAAAACCGTTTGATTATCACAACTCACTAATACAAACTCTTAAACAAATATCAGTACGTTACAATTATGTCGAATTCACGAAAGCATGATAGAAAAAAATCGTTTTGATCACATTTTTGTATGTTTTTTACCAATTTTTTAGGAAATTTTATTTGTATCTGGCAACTATAATCAATATTCTTATGGAAGAACCGGGGGAGTGGTAGTGGTATCTGGTATTAATCAAATAATGGATATTTTGGCAAAACTGAAAATTATAGAAGATTTACAAATAAAATATACAGTCATTAAATTATTTGAGTTAAAAATTTTTGTTGCCACTAATCGTACAATAATGGGGACATTTAAACCATCTGGTGACACTGATTTGTAATTGTAGTGCTACCCGCCAAAAATCGCGATTCTTTGTTTTAAACGCAGTGGACAATTTCTAAATTTAATAGGCGGAGAAAATATAAGCAATTCTAGAGAATATTTTAGACTAAAATGGAATCGACGATTACGCCGGTGGTGGCTGCAGCGGCAGGCAAAATTTTAAAGCCATCAAAACGCTCCGGACGTGGTGTTCCTCAAATTAACGAAATATATACGAAGAAATGTTCTTGTAGCAGAGATAAAACGATGGTGTTTTGTCGCGCTTGCGGTTACTATTGTAATGGACGTATTCGTCTAAAATGCCAGCAGCATCCTCGAGTAAGTTACGATTTATTAAAATCACAGGAGAAAGAAAAGTCAGAAATTCATTCCCCATTTTCTAGTGTGAAAAAATCTAATTATTGTTTACTACTGGTATGTTAGCGTCCGTAGTTGCGTTTCGATCCTTTAACAATAATCTTCATGTATCAAAGAAAATCACGTTTTATGTTTTGTCAAAAGCATTTTTATGGTTTACATCAGTTACTAAACATTTACATTTTACATGACAATTACTACTTTTGTGAATAGTATAGATTTTCTGACAAATTTTATCAATTGGAGACTAATAATTAAAAGTTTTAATTTTAACAATTATCTTAGCTACTGTTAACATTGGCTTATAAATGATCTAACTAGGAATTTCATAATAATACATTTATTTCACAATTTCTCACACATATATTGTCTTCATAATTTTGACATCCCTAAAACCCAATTATGTTTCCATATAATTACCATTTTGCTTTAGATTTCTAACAACTTTTGCGATATTACACTCATAAACATGTTTGGACACCAATATTCCTAGATGGTAAAAAAATTAATCTGTAGAGAGCAAAAAGCTCTTTAATAATGACTTCTTGCTTTTGTTTCAGGTGACTTTTTTGCTGGACATATCTGAATGTCCTCGGTGCCATTCTTCTGTCTTTTTGGATGAAGTTTCACGCTCATCAAATAAGTAGATTATCTTTTATGTAGATGATCAATGTATAACCATGTATATAATAGTGATTTTAAGTTGAGGGCTTATTATTTTTTCAAATATTGTTACTTTTATAATAAAAGTAAACAACATTTTGAAGAATAATGCCTGAAAAGAATTTACGTTGATTTAAATTTTGCTGCATTTAAATTTAATTTGAATATAACTATTTTTTATATTAAGAAGCATTGATTGCATTTGTTGATTGTTTTAGATTTTAGAATACTTATGACCGATGAGTAAGGATTTTTTAAGTGAGTTTTTGTTATAAATACTGTACTTAAAAATGTTTAACAAAGATCATGTATCAATACATTGAACACTGTTCTTTTATTAGACAATTGTTTATTTTTAATTTAGGTGGTCCTCTCAAGTAATTCACTTTCCAGTTGAATGAGTTCAAAGAAGTATGTTGTTTTGTTTTGGTTCATATTTTATAGACTTTTTTTAGGTTTTAGTATTAAAAAGTTTCATTTGTGAAGGAATAAAAAAATGAAGCTGAAGCAAATCTTTATTCCTATTACCCTAAAATAACTATCGCTTTTACAATATTTTGACAAATTACAATTAAAAAAAAACAAGGATCGGTTATATATTTTATGGAAATATAAATGTTATGTAAATATGTTTGTATTTATATAATTTCTATTATGATTGGTATCATAAATGACATTTAATTTTGGTAATTGATCATTTCATTACCTTAATACTTAAATACTTTAAAGTTGGATAAAAACATGCCATTTATTTTGTATATTTATATGATTTGCCGCTACAAAGACTCATGAATATTATATGAAATTAAAACAAAAGTTAATATAACTTTTTTAATTTCACTAAACAATATACACTTACATTGTACAATTACTGTTAAATATTCTATTTCACTAAAAGTATTGATTATAAAACTCTAAATAGAAAACCAGCTAGGGACATCTGTTCTCTCTTTATTTCTCTCTAAGTAGTCATTGAAACTCTTTTTAGCTTCGTCTAAAGACTTCATGCTGTCTTCATCCTCTTTCTTTAGACCTTCAAATAGATCAGGATATTTGAATGTCATATCCTTTGGCTGAAAGATTTAATTTTTAGTTTAAAAAGATAAGTCAGATAATACTCATTTTTATTCTATTTTCTACAATTTCATGTCTACAAGAAGTGAAATTACATTTTATAAGGGAATGAAACTTATTAGAAATTATAAAATTGTACTTTATCATGGTGAATAATTAAAAAGGCACACTTACTAAAACAATGTAGGCACATTTAATGTCATCATCTTTTACAATATATCCTTTGCCGTAATCTTTACGGAATTTTCCCATTTTTATGTTAGTTCTCACATCTACAATGGGGATATTGTAGATCTTTTCTAAATAATTTTTAATATCAAACTTGGTCATTTCCATTGAGCAATGAAATTGTACAACGTTAGGAAGTTGCTTTGGTTTTGGACGAACCAGCTTCATCCAAAAGTTAGGTAAAAATACTCGTAGTTGAGGATTCCCTCTTTGATAAATAGGGTACCTATGTATTTAAAAAGAAACCATTAATGTAGAAATTAATTAAAACACAATGTTAGTGGTGTAAGGAAAACTTACCATCGAGTTGACATGGTTACACTACTTGTTTTTTTAAATATATATAAAGATATTCTAGTTTAAGTTTAATGGAAACGAGTAAAACCAAAATATTGATACATAACCTATTTTGTTTGAACATTGACAGTGACATTTGATGCCACAGTTCAACATTTTTTGACATCAAATATATCAATATTTGGATAAATGAATTTAAACAATCATAAAAGTACTTGAAACATAGCACTAAGGTACAATTTGCTTACAGTTGGATTACATGATACCTTAAAATAAAATCTTAATGGCAAAATAGAATTAGAAATATAACACAAATGTAATAGCAATGATAACATTAGATAAAACACTGGTAACAAAAACTTTACAAACGTCAGTTTAGTTATAAAGATGGCGGTGGCCTTGTCACCCGACCAAGAGTTGGTGAGTAGAAATAATACAAATTAATGTGAAAATTCTTCTATGCAAATAATTTAATTTGACCTTGATTCATTAAAATGTGTACTGGATAATTTGCAATCTCTTTATAACTCTCAAATACATTTGAATGATTCCCAAACTGTGTTGTCGTTCACCATGTCATCAGTGTTTGTTTTGGTTTCGAATTGGTTACATGTTTTCTATAATGATTAAATGTTTGTTTATTTTCGAATTGTTAGCATTATAAATTTTAATCTATAATTGTTAGATATAATGTGATAGCTTATTCTTAAAGATTATTATTAAATACCGGTTATCACAGAAAAACTCATTAAGTTTCCCTTTATGTTTTATTATGTTTTCCCTAATCAGCAACAATTTATTATGTCATATTTTAGTTAATTAACGTAGAAATGACCATTATTACCATATGACTAAAAGTGACTAATTAAGTATAGTTTATTTGTTTTTATAACACATATTGCTTTACTTGTTAATAGACATTTTATAATACAGTCATAAATAACTTTCAATGGCCACAAATTTCATAGTCATGAAATTGACTACTTGAGTTACTTAGCAATAACATTTTTTTCTTTTGTCAATTTAACTAGATACTTTATTTAAGTATAAACAGTTGTATCTGTGATTATAGTTCATAGTTTTTGTTTCTTGTTTTGTCAATTTGGATTTCTTTTACTTTGTAGCATTGCTTAATGCAATCTTATATAAAAAACGATTGAAACTTTGGTAGGGTTGTCTGGTGAAACCAGAGTGTTTCTCTACAATGTAAAAATCTAAAAAATAAAACTTATCATGTTGAAACATTTTACTTTTTACCGAATTTTTAAATTTGAAATATTATTTTATTACTCTCTTACTTATACCACATTACTTATGCGGGTTTCAGTTTTTATTTGTATTTTAATTTAAAAAAAATACATTTGTCCTCGATGCTTTCCTAAATTTTGATTTTCTTCCTAGATTTTGGTACAGTTTTCTGAGGACGTTTGCGGTTAATAATTTTGTGCTATTATGGATTTAAATAAGGAATAATTTTGTGCCTTGTAGTAGTCTTACACAGTTCTGTAAATTATGTATTATCAGTTATAGTTGCATATTAAATTGGACAAATGTGGGTACTTTTAAGAAAAAGAAAATAATAACTAATGCTACAATTTTCAGGACACAGACTACCCTATGTTTTCCATATATCTTTTTTTTATATAAAAAAAATAATAAGCATTAGTCACTTGGGTACCCATTGCTGTTTTTTTAAGTTAAGTATTATAAGCATGGAATAACTACAATGTCTTTTATTGGAAATATAGTTTTTAATTATTGCGCGAATGATATGTACTTAATAATATTAGTATTGTAGATGTTTAAGTGTAACATTTTTAAAATAACAGGAAATATCGATTACCGTCGGCCGGCGACCGTTGTCAGCCGACTTCCGGTCCGCTACTCTGTATCACGTCTTCATCAATTTCTATTTCCATTAATTATTGTAGCGATTTATTATTGTAAATAATCTATTCATTGTTCATGTCGAAGGCACGAGTATTTGATTGAACGGAAGCTTATATCAAATGAGAATAGATTTTATTTTTTATACTTGTTTCTGATAAGTTAATGTTTACCGTTAAAGTTTTAAATAAAATATGAAATATTTACCTTGCTTCATAACCTTTCTATTAATTGGTTAATCAGAATCCAAAATACATAGGTGTATGCTAAAGAACATTTTCACAATAAAGTTGTCTTATCGTGATTTTCGCCCAAACATTTGTATTTATACATATCGGTATCTCTGTTTTACCTAAGAAGAAAAGAGACGGTAATATTTGTGTAAGTTTTTTACCAAAGTTAAGAAACTTTCCTACGCCTACCTTCAAACTTTGTTTACGTACAAGTTACGAGTATTCGGGAGCGCGCGTCCTACCAGTAAACTATTTGTTTTCGTCACTTCCGTTCATGTCTATTAATAAAGTCGTGATTTGCAGGTACACATTAAATTGAATGCAACGGAAATGGTGCTTATATGGGTCACCATATAAATGTAGCATAGTAATATGAGACCGGTGTTCGCATAAGCGGCTCAAGAACTTGGCGACAACTAAATCCGGTCATATAAAATGAGCACCGAGGCTCTGAGGTAAACCGAGCTTGGTTTCTTAAAGGGATTTAGGCTAAGCGCCTGCGTTCAGCTACCTTCAGCACAGTATGACTATGTTGACGTCATGTCATAAAAAAAGTGCAACAGTGTTTTTCAAATGCTCAATGACAAGTTTCGTCCTCGAGTTGTATAAATAAATTTCAAATAATGGATTTCTGGAAAAAATTACATACATTATTAATAGTTTCTATTTGGCGTCCGCTGAATATTCCGTAGGCGTGATATGTCGCGACGATTACATAGTCCCTCAAGCTTAATTTTTTATATGTGAAATCACCACCCGGGCGTCGCTAAATGCTTCAGTGGAGCACTATAGAAAAGAATATTATCCATGTTGAAGGAAAGCGTGTGGGTGTTAGAAATTTGTTTGTCGTATACACGACGCCCACGCGCCGTTGGCGTCGCGAGTACGACCCACGCCGTTTCTAAGTAACAACCGGGTCGCGTGACTCATCCTGGGACCGTGTGCCATTGCAAATTAATTCCGATATACCCACCGGTCCAACGCGACCGACTTACATAACTATTACGAAGAACTGAGCCTCGTAATGCTACCTATTTTACTCTCTCATATTTAATAGTATGATATTTAAAATACATTTGAATTAGTTCAAACATAAAACCTTTTAAGTGTAAATTCCAACATTCTGTTACCAAGTTCAACGCCAACACGATATGTAGGTATTGAAGTTATTTCGCAGGCCGATTTGGTTTTCCCTTACAATGCAATTTGCAATTCTATCACCCAGTTACTTAGGATACGTCTCAAAGATTGCATCTAAATATGATTAGATCCTATTTGCGTCATGGGTGTTAGTGCATAAAAAAAACTAATATACATTTACGTAAATCAAATATTCAAAAAGATCATTATACGGTATGTACTTTTACCTTTATATCACGGTGATCTATAGGACAGTTCTGATTTGGTGTTCCACGCGCGCGATCGTCTGTGTGCGTCCTAATAGTCTTTTAAACTTGCGTAAAAAATTAATTAATTCCCCTGTGATTTTTGTGTTAGTGTTTTATTGATAAGTGAGAGAAATGTGTTTCAATGTTCATCTAATTTACTTTTTAATTATACTTAAATTCTGATAAGGTTGCAGAGATTTCGATTAGTGAAAATAATTACATATAACAACGAAGTTATCTAAGTTAGATTAATGTAGTAAATGATTACGATGTAAAACTGTAAAAACGCTTCAATAACACTCGTACTTAGAGTTAAAAAATCGTTTATTCTTCAATTGTTATAGCTGTTGATCAGAGATTTATCAATGAAAGTAGTTTTGTCAATGTGTCATTCATAAATTGACGACGTTTTACAATTTGACGATGACGTATACACAATTGCATCGTCTATAGTAATTCCCGATGTGTTTGCGTGAGTTAAACACACGTAAGCGACGCCGCACCGGAAACACATCCCGGAAGAATTAACCATCGGCGCCCCGACACGCGCTCAGCGCCCTTGCAAAGTGAATACACTGATTGACAAAACTAAACAAGATATTAAAACAACTTCACGATAACGATTACAAATTCGTAACTGATTAAATATAGGTAGGTTTTAATTTAACACTTAACTAGACAAGAACTATATCCTAGCGAGAGAGAATACATTTATTTTCACTTAAAGATGGTCTAAATCATAGTGTGATAGATCAAACAACAACTATCTGTATACGTTTATATAAGGTTTACTCTTGTGCGCTTATGCGAAGAATAATGAAACATCCTGTATATGTATGCATCGTACGTGCACTCGGTCCGTACTACTTTGCGAGTCAAATGTATTGTTCTCCGTTCTTCCAGCATCCCTTTTAAATCTCGATGGTTTTTGTTCCCGGATAGCCTCTTAGCGACGCAATTGAAGTTGACTTGAGACGAAAATGCGTTGTATTCTTGTAAAATGATATAAAAGCATACGAAGAATATGCGATTTATATGTTTTTACGGTAATGTATCTTGAAATTACTCATTTGATAGAAAATATAATTGAGTCAGGGGATTAAAATAAGTAAAAAGTAAAACATTTTTAAACATAGGTAGGTACCTAGTTAAATTTTTGTTTCGTATTTTCATGAAATGATTAACTATATTTTTAGGTTTCAAAGTGTTCTTCAGGGAACTCCGTCGGGTCCCTAATATTAGACAGATTCCTGGGAACTTAGTATGAATTTTTCGATGTTGACAACTCAACTGAACTCTCGTAGGGTAATTACAAAGCTTTTGTTAGTTTTAATGGGGGTTATAATAGGTTCGTGAGAGCTTTTTGTTGTTTACGTTTTGTTATAATCGTCTATAATTTGTTCAAATTTAAAGCACAAGTAATTCACATTCGATATACCGATTCGTTTAGGAATTTTGTCTTGGTCAAATGAAAGTGTGACCGATTAGTGAAATCTGTGAGTGATAGATAAATCGATCAAAGTTAACAGTGTCTATGGCCACTGAAGTACCGAAAATATCGTGGAAAATGGAGAATGCTGTCATCCGGAAACTCCTGTTCATTTTACGGGTACTAGTTTTTTTTTTAAGTGCGATCAAGCAAGGATTAAATCACTTAAACATCGGTGACAAAACGATAACATGACCCAGTTCATCATTCATTACTTGCAGGGTATTGTTTTATTTTAAAGTGTTTTCGATTTCCAGGTTTCGACCACCTGTATACATTGTCTATGTTTCTTCACACTATTAAGCGCAAACGCAATCTTACTTCTTACTAATATTATAAATGCGAAAGTTTAGATGGATGGATAGATTGTTGTTTTTTAGAGTTTGTAGCCTAAATGGCTGAACAGACCTCGATGTGATTTGGCATAGACGCAGAGGATAGTCTGGAAGAACACATAGGCTACTCACTTTTGTACTTTTTAGTTCCAAGCGGCCGGAGTCGCGGGCGAAAGCTAGTTTTTTTATAAAACTTTCTCACTACAGAGCATTTCAGTGTTGGTAACATGAGGTAATGTCTAACCGGCTACTTGTAATCTGATGCGATACTTGGAGACTCATTATGTGCCGTTATCATAGCATTCCAACATGCTGATTCAAATATCACCACTACACAGACCTATATATATTTATAAACTAGCTTTCGCCCGCGACTCCGTCCGCGTGGAATAAAAAGAAAAGGAAAGAAGCCTATTTGTTCATCCAGATTATCCTCTATATCTATGCCAAATTCCCTCGATATCCGTTTAGCCGTTTAGGCTATAAACTCTAATAAACATCTATCTGTCCATCTAAACTTTCTCATTTATAATATTAGTATGAAGTATGATGTTACTCTTCGATGTACTGGTCTCCTGTTACAATCACTAAATGAAATAATAAATTATTACCTTGTAACTTTTATTGATTAAAAAGTAACAAAATTAATTTAACCAAATCACATTTATATCGATACCTTGTCGTGTATTGTTTCAAGGATTGCGATCCCACAATGTCTAGTCCCTGAATTCTGTAAAAGTATTGGTATGGTACGGTTTTATCACTTTTATACGATTGGAGTACTTTTTTTATTACATAAGGTGGCAAACGAGCAAGCGACCACCTGAATCCGCCAATGTGGCGAAGCGACCGCAGTCTATAGACATCCACAATTACAGATG